GTTCTAACTAAGGCAGAGGGAGAAAAAAAAAAAAAAAAAAAAGAAGAAAAAAAGCCCAACAACCCACACTGATTCATGCATTAATTCAGGGACCAATCTTGCAAATGTTCACATGAGTAATCCTTCCTCAGATGAATAATCCCCCTGACCACAGCAGACTGATTAACAACAATGCACATTGAGGTTTTCAGGATAGGGCCCATCCCCTGAGGCTTGGGTTCTCACCCAACATTTAGAGGATGATGGACCCTCTCCTGTTGTTAGATGTATTAGAGGCCTACATACACCTCTCAAATATTTTATGTGATTGAGTAGCTAATAGACCCTGATCCTGTCAGCATTCCCTAGAAAGGCCAACAAACCAAAGGAAACAATCCCAGGTGAGATAGAAGACTTGGCAGGATCGGGTCCTTTAATAGTAGCTGAGAGTTGTATCTCTGAAATGTGATCAGAACGTGTACCTTTGCTATTAACGGTCTCATGTTTTATTTGGAACAATCTCAATAAAATAAACAGCCAGAGAATCTATGAGCTGATATAGCTACCTAGATCTAGAGAAGCATAAATTACTATTTAAAAACAAAATTCACACATACTGTTTATTTCTTTGGAACAAAACTTGCTTGCAATTTATTTTATATCATTCAGCAAATGATGGCTCTGTGCGCTATGGGTCCAGGGTTTTGAAGTTCAGCAGAATCCCCTTCCGGCAACCTTTAGGCCTATTCCTGACTTTCTCTTTTACTTGCTCGTTTCCTGGAGAACTAAGATAGTCAGGACTGATGTATCGTTATGCCCTCCTTCCCTGCACCAAACAGTGTTCATTAAAAACTTGCTGCTAACAAGGGCCAGATCCAGCCCTCCTGGAAGTCACTGAAAAGCTGTCTATTGACATCATGGGGACCAGGAGCATACTAATGCATGCAAGTACCCTTACTAATGCGGGCAGTCCTGTTAACAACACCGAAGTTGTTCACAGGATTAACAGCAATCAATCAAGCCCTTTGAAAGGCACATTAAAAGACAAAGCCTGGTCTGCAAACCCTTCCTCACACGAGGTGTGTGCATACCTGTGCCTGGTGGGGCTGCATCTCACTGCTCCCAGCCTGGCAATGTCAGTGTATTTTTCCAGCTGTGCTGATTTGGGGTAGCATTTCTTCTGAGGATTGCTAGCAATCTACCCCCCAAAAAATAATGTACCCAAAAAAGCCACTAACCAGAGTGGGTATCAGGAGCAAATGGGGTTGTAAAAGGGTTTGGAGGGGTTTGCTTTTTTCCTGCAAGTAGACACATAAAAAAGAAAAACAGGGCAAAAATTTGAAGTGTTTTATTTTGGTTCCAAGCAGATAAATAATTTTTATTCTCTGGGAGAAACTGAAGCCTGTTACAAAAGACCTTATTCTTACAAAATTCCTGTGGACTCCCCTGCTTATGAATTGCTGAACTGGACCCACTGTGATTACGCTGGGAACATTTCTCACTTGGGAACTGTTCAGCAAAGGCTGGTTTATAGATAAAAATTTTGCTCCTCCTTTGCCTATATCTGTTTAAAATCCAGTGCAGCCCCTCGTATATGTGTAAAGGTGCTTATGGGGTACATCTTATTTCCATCCACAGCAGCAGCTGTGTTCATCTCGGAGCCCTTGTAGCAATATTTGTGTCCGTATTATTTCATCCTGCCACCCCTCACAGCTGTGCCTGTGCACCAGGGGGCTGTACTTGAACAGCATCCATTTCTAAATGACTATACTTACAGCTTTGTGAAAACGGGGCGTGGACCAGCCCTAAGTTTTAAAAAATATATACTGTTATAAAAGTGACACCCTTGCTGAGCAACAAAATGACTATTTTCACTGCCCTGTTCTTTTAATTGGCTTTCATTTGGGATAAGCCATGGTTGCAGGCAGAGTGGCCTGCTCATGGACAAGGTGTTAACAGAGCTATCCCTGGGATGGATCAGTGCCGGATGCTGTTTCACTTTTCACTACAGTGGATATTCCTTCTTTTAAAAAGGTTTAACAACTCTTCCTTCAGTAAACCTTCCTAGCTCTATCATGGGTATGGTTTTAAGGTTCAGAAAGGGTAGATATTAAGATTTTTAATGTCTTGGTTCAGGCTGGGAGGGTGCTGGAAGATTTTGTTTTATGCAGGTTTTGTTGTTGTTATCCTTTTATTACAGTCCAAGGCACAAGGCAGGAATTGAAAGCAGGTGAGTCACAGGGCTGGGAATTTGGGAGAGGGGCTGTCTGAGGGTTTTACCCTCCCCACGGCTCCTGGGCTGTCACATCTCTGTGTCTTTAGCCTTTAAACGTTCTAAGTGCATTCCCCGGGAAGGGAAGACAGACAGATCCCCCCTCAGACCCCAATAAATAGCACGTCTGGTCAGACAGCAGACAATGCGCGGTGCCTGCCACCAGCCCGGCTTTAGGCGTCTGACAGCAGCTGCCTCCCCATTAGCGGCGAAAGATATTTAAAGAGCCGTAAAAAAGAAGTGGGGGCTTGGCTCGGGTGTCGCCCCCAGGTGCAGGCCCCGGGGAGAGGCGAAGGGGAAGGGCGGAGGTGAGGGGGTACGAGGGCCCGTCCCCGCCCCACCGAGCTCCACACTCCTCCCACCCCCCCCACCCCCCGCGGGGACCCTCGGTCGCCCGTGGGAGCGGCTCAGCCCTGCCGCACACCCCCCGCCCACCCGTTCCGGATACACCCCCCAGGATCGAGCCCTTCGGCGCTCGTCTCCTGGCAGGGGCGCTCGTTGAAGGCACGGGAGGACTGGCAGTCGCAGGAGTAGTTGTAATAGCTGGGCCACCTGCATTGGGTTGGGTTTGGTTTGTTATTTTTTTGTTGTTGTTGTTGTTGTTGTTTGTTTGTTTTTGTTTTGTTTTGTTTTTTGTTTTGTTTTGTTGTTTTGTTTTTATTATTATTTTTATTTTTCAAAGGGTGGAGGGCAGGTGGCTGTCTTGCTGCCCTGTTACTAAAACAAAAGCCAAATTAAGTGAAAACTGCTACAGAGGTGTTGCGGTTTTGCTCCTTTTCTGTTTGTCTTTTAAAACAGAAATAAAAATAAATTCCGGTCAATAAAACAAGCAGGAACGTTGCAAATTTAAACCAATAACCTCCCTCCTCCACGGCTGCCCCTTCCGTTTGCAGTCACACTTGTTACCGGCTCCCTGCCCGGCGCTCCCGGGGGACGAGAGGCCGGGGGGGAAGGGAGGGGGGGAAGGGGGGGAGGGTCCCGCTCCCATCCCGCCCCCCCCCGGGGCCGCCGCCTCCGCCGCGGGGAGCAGCCGTCGGCGCCGGGAACAATGGCTGGGAGCCCCCGCGGAGCCCGGGAGCAGCCCAGGACGGATGGGAGAGGTGTCGGGGGGGGGAGCTGCGAGCACCCCTGGGGCAGGGGAGGTGGTCGGGCGGCGTGTGACTGCAGCCTGACCGGAGTGTGTGTATGTGTGTGTGTGTGTGTGTGTGTGTGTGTGTGTGTGTGTGTGGCGTCGGGGGGAGGGGGTGGGGGGGGCGGGGATGTTCGGGCCAGGTAACTCGCAGGCTGCTCCGAGCTGGTGTTTGTCCGAGGTTCATCCCCGCACAGCTTGCACCGTAACCTGGGGAAAGGGGAAAAAAAAAAAAAAAAAAAAAAAGAAAAAAAAAAAAAAAAAGAAGAAAAAAAAAGAGAAATAAAATTGCTCTGAGCAGAAGCAGAGCCTTGTTTTGTTACTGTCCGGATTACTGTTATTATTATTTGGGGGACAAGAGGGAGTTGTGTCCTTAATCCGAGCCTCCCTGCCCTCCCCACCCCCAGATGCTATGAAAGAAGAGCTGATTTCATTTCCACCATACGGTACACTTTGTCTGGAGAGCATTGTTCGGACAAGCAACTCCCGATCCCTGATGACTACAAAATACGATTTATGTTTCCATCAGAGAGAGACAGAATATCCTGATGGCTTGAAAGTCGGGCAGGAAAATCTTATCTAATAAATCCCTTTCCAGTACACACACGCACGCACATACACTGCACACAGCTAGTATAGGAGATAATGCCCGCACTGATTGTACGGAAAATTAATATCAGCAGCATGAAAATTAGCAATAGTCATCTCGATATTTTTCGTCTCCCCCCAAAAAGCTACAATAATACAGTTTGCGCCTTTCCTAGCTTGATGTCATCATCATCAGCATAATTAAAAAAAAAAAAAAAAAAAAGGAGCTTAAAGAGCATGCATTTTTTTTTCAGATGCAACAAGAACAGATATAGTAGAGAGAGATTGTAACATCACAACCACAACAACAACAGCAAAAGCAACCTCTGAGCCTGAGGATTCGTCCGTTTCTGAACTGCTTTTATTATCAATTGAGAAATCATAATAAGAGTAAATAATATATAAGAGAAATCATCATAATAGGAAGAAGTCAGAACACCTTGGGTTTGTTTTTTTTTTCCCTCTCTCAAATAAAAAGGCAGATTTCCCGATGATCACTGAAATTATAACGACAACGATTGATCGGAGGGCTTGCAAAGGAAAAGGAAAAAAAAAAAATCATCATCATTGGTCCTAAAAACGCAACCGTTCCCCTTTGCTCACTTGGCACAATAGAAATTGACTGTCTCTCAAAGAGCCATGCGCCTAGTGCTATTTATAGCCAGGGGCTGTGTTGGAAGATACCATTAAGCTTCTCCCGGGCAGACAGACAGGGGGGTGATTGGATGGGAGGAGGGGGTTTAGCCAGAGCAGAGGCAAAAGCAATCCCCCCACCCCCAGCCTGCCTTCCCCGCACACACACACATCCACACACTCACACCCCACCCCCTAGTCTGGCTGGGAATTTGAACCGATCCAGCCTGTTTAAACGGAAAGGACACAGATCTTCAATGTAAAAAAAAAAAAAAAAATCAGATCAGACCCAGAGAGAGAGAGACGGAGAGGGAGGAGTGTGTGTGTGCGAGTGTGTGTGTGTGTGTGTGTGTGTGTGTGAAAGAGGGAGAGGGAGCGAGCGAGCGAGAGAGAGAGAGAGAGAGAGAGAGAGGGAGAGAGGGAGAGAGAGAGAGAGAGGGAGGGTGAGAGAAAAGAAGAGGGGGAAAAAAAGGAAAGAAGATTTTCTCTATGTATATAAAGATGGCCACGTTAGCAAACGGACAACCAGACAATACCAGCCTGAGTAGCAATCACAGCAACCCCAGCACCAACGGGCATATGAACGGATTAAACCATAGTCCCGGAAACCCATCCACCATCCCAATGAAGGACCACGATGCCATTAAGCTCTTTATTGGGCAGATCCCCCGTAACCTGGACGAGAAAGACCTCAAACCGCTCTTCGAGGAGTTCGGGAAGATCTATGAACTGACGGTGCTGAAGGACAGGTTCACTGGCATGCACAAAGGTGAGTTACCTCCTGAACTTTCCCGGGAGAGATCGGGAAAGGAAGGCAGGCTCCCGCTCCCTCTCTGTGTCTCCCTTTCTTTCCTTTCGATTTCATTTCATTTTATTTCATTTTTGGCTGGCCCGGGGGCGGAGGCGGCAGGCTGGGGGGGCAGGGAAAGAAATAATAGACCCTCCTGGAAAGAGAAGAGAGAGAGGCAGGGAAGGGAGTCAGGTCCGTTTGGTCTATTTATTAGTATTTTTCCTTCTTTCCCCCCTTTTTTGGGGGGTGCGTGCAGCCACTTGAGAAAGCCGGGCGAGCGCAGGAGCGGGCGGCGGGGCTGGCGGGGAGCTGTCCGCGCGCTGCTGGTGCTGAAAAGGGGAAGCGGATTTCTTTATTTATCTTCGGGATCCGCACATTTTCCACCCACGGGTGTGTGTGTCAGTGTGTCTGTCCGTGTGCCCAGCGCGGAGCTGGGAAGCCCCTATTTTGCAACTGTTGTGTATCTGGCACTGGCGCCTTTTCTTTTTATTTCCTTTTTTTTTTTTTTTTTCTTTTCTTCTTTTTTCTTTTTTTTTTTTTTTTTTTTTATTTGTTTCCTCTTCCTTTATTTTTATTTTTACTGCAGTTACAATCTTTATTTACAGTCCGCTCCAAAGCCAAAGGCTGACAAGAGTCAGTTTCTCCAAGAGGATATTTAATTTTTTTTTTTTTTTCAGCGTAGAAACAGGGATATAAACAACAATAAAAAAGCCCATCTCAAGTGGGGAGGGGTGAGGGGTGTACAAAATCACAACATGTGTGTGTGTTGGAGAGGGAGAGCCAGGAGGGATGGGTGGCAGTTCAGTTTCAGAAGGGAGAAGTCTCTGAGAAGGCATATTCCAAGCACTACTTTAATGTGCCCAAAGTCCATCCCGGGAACTTTTTAGGTTTTCTTTAAAGGTGGTGGAGATGCACTCCCCACGCGATGCCTCGCTCACTCCATTTCTGCCTGCTCCTTTCCCTGCTTAGTTTAAGCTCTATGGAGTTGCATTTCAGATTAGATGATGTTACATTTTGGGTGTGGGGGAGGGTGTGTGTAGTCGGGGAGAGATGCTTGGATCCTCGGGTAGGAAAGTAGGACTCACGGGGAAGAAGTTGAAGATAATTTGCATGGTAGCCCGCTTAGGATCAGGAGACACCCAGGAGCGAAACAAGACACTCTATTAACTCAGGTTCTATATACGTGTGTGTGTGTTGATTTAATTAGATATGTAGCTATTAAAAAAAAAAAAAAAAAAAAAAAAAAAGAAAAGAAAATAATAAGATCAAAACAGAAGTGATTGGAGTGTTACTCCAGATTTAGTGCAGGAGGAGAAAGGATTTTGCACGGGGCCATGTGGGGAGTGGAAGTTACATATGTTACAGGATAGGTTCACTAGCAGTGTCTACTCCAGCTTGGTGCACTCCTGGCAGGGAGAGTTACTGGTAATGGCATTACTAGCTTCCCAGCTTTCCAGATGCCTTTGTGAGTTCAAAATCTTGAACTTAACAGCATGTTTAGCAGGCATCTCTTCCCCCTTCCCACTCTCTCCCTTCCTCTCTTTCACTCTCAGGAAATGCGAATGAAAATATACCCTGACAGTGCAAAGTACCAGTTTCTCACAGGCTAGAGAAAATGCTCAGGGCTCGGGGGCCGGGGACTCAGTCCAAGTTATAGGATATTTCTTCCTTCCTTTCTTGCCGGTCGCTCCAAACACCCTTCTCATATTTACAACAATCAGTGTAGCCCTTCCGAACCTTGCTTTCTTTTCAGACTAGCTTCCTAGAAGCCACATCAAGGTCTGATGGACATCATTTAAACGTGACATCCGTACTATAATAATTATTAATACTAACAATAAAAATAATAGTAAGAAGCACAAGGAAAGAAAGGTCCTGGGAGGTTTCATCTAACAGATGAGGCATGGAGAGTAGCCACCGAGCTCATGTATGCGCGCATGTGTTTGCAAAAATTATCTAAGGTTTTGGTAAAATAAAAATAACAACAGTAAAAGCTACACTGAATAGAATCACTCAACATAGTGTGGAGGAAATCTTTGATCTAACACCTCGATAAAGCATTTTTGTAGTGGGGGGAGGTTATTTTGATATGTTGATGAGATTTTATTATTTTATTATGTTCTATCTTAAACCTGTAATTAATCAATCTATGCGCTAACTTTAATTTCTATTTAATAGATGTGAATTCTTCCCGTTTCAGGTCAGTTTTTCTTTTACTGTATGCCTGTATTCACAGAGACAAACTCAAGAAGGTGGGGAGGGAGTGAGAGAGAGAGGGATCATTTATCTTGCTTAGATGTGTTTAACACATATTCCTGAATTAAGCAAGATACTAACTTCACTTCCCTTCATTTCATTTCTTTTCTAAAGCTACAACCAAGGAAAAAATCCAGGTGGGAAATCTTGTCACTTCATCAAACCAAATTGCATGAGTTCATCTTGAAAGAAACAGTCATTTTTAACCTACTAGAAGTTTTGGACTTTGGAAGGAAAAATTATGATGATGACTGCTATTTCACAAGCTAGGGTTTGAGTGAAGCTTCAAGAGACACCGAGTTGCCAGCATTTCAGAGATCGGTTTTATTTAGTACATCCGAGAAGAGTTTGAACTCCTTTCTAGCGATGCCGCTGATTTATTAGCTAATCCTGATAAAAATGTGCCTCTGGCTACCTGGAAAAAAATTACTTTCTTGCCAGTAGTGATTAATTACTATGAAGTCAAAAAGCATGATGGGGCTTTGAAGGATGAGGATTGTGTTTGGCTTTTTTTTTTATTATTTTATTTCATTTTATTTCATTTTTAATCTATTTTTTTTTTCTCTTTTCCCTTCTCTAAATGCAGTCATGTGAAGCACACCATTCACTTAGTTATCCTTATTTTGGCTTTGCTTTGCAGGCATAGGTGAAGAATTGTATAAAGGTAGTCCAACTTGCCTCTCAGGGGTAGGATGTCAATATGATACCCCAAGATGCTTTCCATAAGTGATGCATAATGCTTATACATTAATTGATCCATCACTCTCTGTTGATTTAATTCCTAATCCAGGGGATGAGGCTGTGACAGTGGTATACCTTTAAGGGTTAATAGTGGACTGTAGTTTATTTAAGTGTACGGAGAGCAAACCTTGGGTGTGGAGCTGGAGATGGTGGGTTTGTGTTAGGAGGAGGGAAGAGACAGGAATTAGCTTAAAGTAAAAATGTATCAACCGGAGTAATTTCAGGTGTAAATCTATTGAAATGAGAGCACAGGATCTGTATTCTTGAAAATATTTTGAAAAGATCCTATTGTGGTGCTCCTGTACAGCAGGAGGAAATTGAAATATAAAGACATGAAGATAAAGTACATGACTATGCCCCCCTCCCAAAAAAAAACTATCACAAAAGGAGAGTGAAGTCCAGGTTCTCTCACCAGCAGCCCCGGCAGATATCAGGCCAGATACCAGAGAAGAGGCAGGGGAGCATGATTCTCTTGCAGGCACGCAAAGAGAGAAAAGGGTACGGGGGAAGCAGCATGTGAGGGAAGGCGGGAAACGCTTGCCAAATCCCGGAGAAAACAAGCTTTCATGGCACAAGCGTAACTGCTTCATATTTCCCCCATCCTCATTTCTCTCCACACAGGGCAAGAACAAGCTCCTGCTGTGGTACTTTGCTCTAGGGTTGGGAAGAGGCTGTGTGCTGAGATCCGCAGCTAGAAATCTACCGGGGCTGAGGTGACCCACCCACACACTCACACACACACACACACACACACACACACACACACACACACACACACACACATGGAGTTAACTAATCACACTTGAACAATTTAGCAAGCCATTCATTCATAACTTCCCCACTTCTTATCTAGCAGTGGAGTATGCTTAAAGGTTGAGTTACTGGGAGACATAAAGGTTAGTGCTCTCAGGACAGCCATATTATAATGCATTATCTTTGAAGTCATTTAAGGCCAATTTAAGTGGTATTTAGTATAATATTTATGAATTAATGTAATCTAAATATAGGACTGTCCCCATAGGTTTAAACAGTCTTTTCAATAGAAGTTTGCTTGTACCCAAGGTCTGGAATGTGTTTTAATTTAAAACACACAGGTCTCCATAATATTCTATTTAGGAAGTCAGAAGAAATCAGCATTCCACACTTAACGGAGATTTACTGAAACACATGCGGGTGAGTGCACTTAAAGTGTGGAGATAGTGTGCAGTGGGAAAGCAAGAGTCTTTCATAGACTTGAGAGCTACAACAGTCTTTCAACCCTTATTTAGGGGGGAAAAAAAGCACAAAATCACTAAAACCTCCTTGAAATTCACCATTGCAGTCCCGTGGTTAGTGTGATGTTCCTACCTGACCCGAACCTCACTCGATAAGCGTTCAATGCAGCTAAGAAAATGCAGTATGAAAAAAATAGTTTAGTTCTTTTGTTGCTTTACCTTCTCAAAAGTATAAATAATTTTGAAATTTAAGACACCTTGGGGATGGGCAAACAAGGCTTCCATTCATTATATTCTGTTCAGTTTGATTACAAAAATACATGATAGAAAAATTAAAACCTTGTTAAGTCTAAGGATGTTTATAAAGATTTTGGATATCTCAGAAATTCAAAGGTGTAGCGAAATTGAGCATTCTATTAAGATGATGTATTTGTAAATATGTGTAAATGTATAGGTTTGTGTTTGTGTATACATACAGAAAAAAGAGATGTATACACATTCATGCATATAGCCTTTGGGAAATGGAAATTTAGTTGAAAAGAGGCACAACGCAATACAGGTGCTGAATAAACTCCTCCATAATTGAAACATAAGGCTTGCCTGGCTGAAAGCAACACATACAGCATTTAGTATGGTAGTAAACCAAACAAGTTTTAGGGAGGTAAATGCACAAATAAACTGGAATAAAACAGAGGAGGCTTTATGCCTTAGGTCTAAGGAACAACCCCTTAAAACAATCAAATTGCAATTGGTTAGCCTGATAGAAGA